ATCTCACCTGTGTTTAACAGTGCCCACCACGCCCACGCCCATGACCATGACCATGACCACGACCACCTTTCTTCTGCCCGCGATGTCTTCTACGACGGCCACCGTGCCCGTCATCAGTGCTGCAGCTTCCGCTGTCACTGCCGCCGCTTTTGTCACGGCCTCCATGGCAGTCTCCACCAGGGCGATCACGCCCACGGCCACCTTTCTTCTGCCCACGATGTCTTCTACGACGCCCACCGTGCCCGTCATCAGTGCTGCAGCTTCCGCTGTCACTGCCGCCGCTTTTGTCACAACGACGAGGGCTTTCTTTACGGTCTCCATGGCGGTCTTTACCACCATCTCCATGGCAGTCTTTACCACCCCCTCCATAGCGGTCTTCACCACAGGGATTAGGGTCACAACCCCCTTGAGACTCCTGGTCTCCTGGTCCCAGGTCAAAGCCACAGGGGTGGGTGACTGTTGGAGCACCAATCAGAATCAAATAAAGGGGATTTATTTCAAGAATAAAGCTACAATTTCTAGAAAAAAAAGACACAAAACTTGCGTCTCTGGATGAACACATAAGAGATAAACTGTGTATCTTACCAGGATTGGTGCCGCCCCACATTGTCTGTCGATGGCGTTCTTCTTTGATTTATTTGACAGTACTAGAGAAAAGAAAACAGGGAGGTGGCCGTTTACATTTAAGTTAAACCAGTTTAACTGGAAAACTTACAAGCACCGCAAACAACACTTTATCAAGATGAACAAGCAGTTTATACTCTGGAAAGTGAGTTCAACGCTTTAAGTTTGGAAAAGTCTTAAATTGCAGCAGAACTTTGTCAAACATGCCATGTCAGTTTATTTAATGCAACACTGGTTCGCTTCTTTTCTCAGTGTGTCTACGTTCACTGATCTGAGAAAAAAAAATAAAAAAATTCACATTTTGGCTTTGACAGGAAGTAGTATTTGGTCTGTAATGTTCTGCCGATCTGTTCTAAGCAGCTGTTTGATGATGTTACTCTAAAATTAACTAGAAAATATTAATTTTTACAAACAAGTGACAAAATAAGTTACTGGAAACATGCTAATCAATCTAAACTTGTTTTATTTAATTAAAATCTCAATCTTCTCAATATTTCTAAAAGTTGCAGGTGAAAACCTCATTCCCCAGACAGAAGATAAAGCTGTGTACTCACATGAGACGATTCCCAGTCAACAACACGATGCACTATGATTTAAGAGCACCGTCTCTCACGCCTACATTCTTGTCCTATCACATGACTGCATGAGGTGATGGGCTGGTGACAGGCGTTGCCAAATCAAACCGGAGGACGTTTGGTGCATTTGATCCTCAGCCAAACTAAACCCTGTCAGTATTTAATTAAAGAGAACTGCTCAGAGTAATGAATGCATGTGTTGTCTTTTTATGGGCGTCAAGGCTGAGATGATTAAGATGATTAAGATGATTAAGATGAACTAATGTACTGACATGTACATGCCCTGATGAGTTCAATGGCTTCAGATATCAATCATTTGCCCTTTGAGGTACTTGTACTTTACTTCCATGTTCTTCTACTTTATACTACTTCACTACGTCTTTACTACACTACATGTATTTGATCAAATTACTCAGTAGATTTGGATTCATAGTAGAAAATATCATCAGCAAATAAATGATGATGTAACATTGATCAGTAAGATGAGACTTTCAATTCACAACCCAGCAGATAAATAATAAAATATAAAGTAGGCGTGGATGGATCAGTGAAAGGGCCGCCATTACACAGGCCTCTTCTTCTTCAGTAGTTATTGGCGGTTGGTGACCATCCTGGAAGCCCGATACCGCCCCTACCTGGACTGTGCAGGGATTGTGAGTCTTTCTCGGTGCAGGTGAAAGTGCGACGACAGTTCTGTGCACGCCGGCGACATTTATCAGTGTTTAATCTTCTGCAAGTCAACGGACTCCAGTTAGAGAGGATACACCTAGCTTTGTAAAGTGCTGACGAGGATAAAACTTGTAATACTGCTGAGGACGAGAAGGTCGAGCACGCGCCAGCACACCTGTTCAGAAGGTGTGTCGTTGAGAGCTTTTTAAAGTATGTTTAAAGTCTTGAATTAGGTTTTTGGTGCTGCAGCGTTAAATAAATCGCACATAGCTAGTTTATTCGGATTACATTGTGGTTGTTTTTTTATTCACAATTTCAAATATCATATAAAAGTCGTAATTCAAACCCTGCACAGCGTTTACATCAGGGCATTTCATACATGATTCTCTTGATTCAATCATTAATGTTTGGTCCGTAAAATGTGAGAAAATAGAAAAAGTTCACATATTAAAATATCCAAAACATAAAGATATTCTCTTTGATGGAAACAGATTATCAAAATAGTTGTTTTATATTCTGACAATCAACTAATCATTACACTTCTAGCTTTGATATTAATAATATAAGTTACTATTTGTCTGCACATACCAACAGGACATTTATAGCAGTCAAACCTCCTGCATGTTTCTGTGGGGACTCAGATATTACTGAAGTATCCTTCTGAAATACATTTTAACATAATTGGGGATGTTTAGCCTCAATAAATGCTGAATCTTTCAGTGTGAGCTGCTGTTGATGGAGCCCACTGAACCGGAGGCACCATGGCCTGCAGAGACGACCTGATAACTTCAGCAGGAGGGATGAAGTGGTGGAGGAAGGTGGATGTGTGGAGAGGCTCGGAGGAGGATGAAGGGCTGGTGGAGATGCTGCTCCGAGGCAAAGCCCCCTGGGGCTTCACCCTGAGGGGCGGCACCGAGCACAGAGAGCCTCTGGTCATCACAAAGGTAAGAAAGAGTTTTACAGCTATGGAAGATTAACAATACTCAGCCCTGTGTTCAGTGATATAAATCATCATATCCCTTCATGTTTCACAGTCCTGCCCAAAACCCCAAGATGTTCAGTTTACTATAATATGTGACAAAGACATCATTGTGTAAATGTGTTGAGTGTTTGTAAAATAAACCCTAATGAAAGACCTTAAGCCTGGCAGAGCTCATGAGGATTATATAAGGATTATAATGTACATTCTGAATGTAATGCAACATACCGGGAACCTTTTCCGCCTCCCGTTATAGCCGGTAAGCAGTGCAACTATCTCAGGTTACAGGAGGTACAGTATTTAATATTTAATCAGAGCACTCAGGTTGCCGGCCTCCACATGAGGATGAAAGCGAGACGTCCACCTTAAAAGATGGCTGAGAAAAGAAATGGAAATTGTTATTGCAGCCATTCAAAAATATTAGAAAGCTTTCTGTAACTCTTACCTTCTAATGCATACTATGCACAATGTTAAGTAAGTAAAGGAGCCTTCACATCCACTGCATGTCAATGCACCTTGACTGTATGTGTGGTGTTTGTGTGTGTTCAGGTGGAGGAGGGCAGCGTGGCGGCGGCAGTCTGTCTCCAGGCCGGCGATGAGATGGTGAGCGTGAACGCGGTTCCCCTCAGTGGCTCCCGTCAGGAGGCCATCTGTCTGGTGAAGAGCTCTCACAAGACCCTGACCCTGGTGGTCCGAAGGTAGGCAGCAGCACACATGAATACCTTTAGTTTGAGAAAACAAGCAGCATCTAAGATATAATCAGGAACTATCTGATGAAAGAACAAATACACAAGATTATTAATCTGACCAGTCAGATGAACTTAAACACATTTTGGTGCCTTGCATCTTATAAACGTTTGAAGAGAAAATGTAGAAGAAGTAACACCCCTGACATCCCATCATGTGTCCTCACCAACCATTCATTCTGGTACTAAGGAGGGTTCAGAGAAGGCAGAGCCGTCCTGACCGCCTCACACATGGGCCTCTCGCTGCTTGTTTGAGGGTGAAACAAAAGCAGGTATTGTGGAGGCAACACTGTTAAAGAAATAGTACAATACATTAAAGAATAAATAGGTTAATCATGAGGTTCCTTTGCTCAACACAGACGTATAGTTAAACAGTTGTGTTCCACGTCTTCAGTGGTGTGCAGCGTGTATCCACAGAATGGTGCTCTGATGGATTTAGCTCCACCTTGTGGAGGTTTGAGCCAATTGTGTTGTTTTGTGTCCTGAAGGAACATTTTTATCATTAGCACCAAATGTTTTCACAGTGACGGCCTTCTAAGTGAGGATATATTTGTTTTTACTCACTTAACTCTGAGTTCTGTCCAGGTTTTTGGGTTACTACTCTCATAACGATCAGGTTTAAAGCTTTTAAGGCCGTTGTGCTGATGAGTGAAATACGTATATTCTACTCCACAGATCCTTCTTTTATATTCTGGTGAAGATCCAAACGGGGACATTTTAAGGAATGCGAATAAAGTGATTTACAGAAATTACGAGTTTTAAAAGGTTAAAGAACAGAATAATCAAATCTTATCAAGTCTCATTTCTTCATTGTTGTTTTTATTCTGTGAATAAAGTGTGTTCATTTCCTCTGGGCCTCTCCACAAGAATAACTACCTGCTTCTTCTTTACTACATGTGTTATCGATGTCCTGTACTGTCAGAATTATATGCTCACTGGCAAATGGCAACAGAGTCTTACAGCCTGAATCCAATTACTAGTTGCAAAGCCACCATCATGGGCTCAGAGTGGGTGAGTCAACAGGAGGCAAAGGTGGAGCACTGGTGTGTTTTCACAAGCTGCTTCTGCTGAGGAAGCTCTACATGTGAGCGGGTTGAGAGAGCGAACGCCAGGCTCGTTTTGAGAGGAGACATTTCAGAACTCCCACTGGGAGATGGTTGAGTCGCCCTGAGAGCTGCCTCAGTCCGGGCGTCCTCCCCTGTTTGCAGGAGAAGTGGTACGGCCCACGTTGCCTAGGTGAGTTGACACTGCTTAGTGGGATAGGCCATATCAGCAGAGCCCATTGTTTTCAGGGGCTTTGGCTACTCCAACGAGCACAGAGTGGACGCTCCTGTCTGCCTTTCTTCTTGCTCTGGACACGTTTGGTTTTTAGAAGACAAAAGAGAAGATCTTCTCTCCCAGGTAATTTCTATTTTTATCTCTGATTCTATCATCAAGTGGCATTTAATCAGGAAGTGGTGTGCGAGCAGGTTTTCCTCGTCTATAAGACACATAAAGGTTGAGAGGCATTTCCCCAGAAGGATCAGCTGTACATTTAAAAAGAAGGCCTGACAAACTGCTGTGATAGCGCTGAGGATGTATCTGAAGGTTGAAAAGAGATGGAGGACAACGTTGGAGCAGGTAAACGGATGTTCAAGTCTTTCTACGTGTCTAACTGATTCTTCAGCTTCAGCAGAGATGCTCACGGTGAATTTACAAGACAGGAAATGTTTGTTAATCACTGTTGCAGCTCTTTAACCTGCACACACACACACACACACAGACACAGAGGAATCATTTTATTCACAGACTACAAAGCACGCAGATAATTATTATGAATGTCCTGGATCCAGATCTCACTCTGTCTTTGGATACATGCACTAGACTTCTCTCCCTCTTCTAAATGCAGCAGTTTATGAGAACTTAGTCTGTTTTTGATATTGTCACTATCTCACAATGCAGAGAAACCCGTTTAAAATCTAAAAATCTTAATATTTAGCATAAATATTCATCATATTTCCCCACTTTCTTATCCTTCAATTGTGGCATTTTTCAATGTTTTCTATCATTTTTTTTAATTGATAATTTAAATAATAGTTTGTTGCAGTGTCTTGTGGTGAAGTTTATATATATATATATATCAAAAAGCCATTATTGGCTTGATATCCGTGTAGATTTAGTGAGGACAGAGCCAGATGTTCCAGCTGTTGCTCATCTTCAGGTCTGCTTTGTGTCAAAGTTCGTGCATGTTATTCCCTCCCTCCTTTTTTTTATTTTTCTGTTGCCGGTGCAGGCAGTGGCACAGCGATAAGCCCAGCTGTGATGACGCTCGCACTTTCTATTGTGTCGTCGTGTTTGGAGCTCAGCGGGGCGAGATCGTCCTCGCAGGCTGCTGGATGTTTGGCCTCGGCCTTTTCTAAATATCTCACACATGCACGTCGCTTAACTACTTGTGCATCACTTTTATCTTGTTAGATAAAAACAGGTGTTGACAAACTGCATAACGTGCCGTTGAAAAATGATATCGCAGTACTCGCGATAACTTGACTTCCCTTCAAACACACATGATTTGTACTTTAAACTAAGAGTGTGCAGCCTCTCCTCCCCGGTGGAGGAGTTTCTTCATGGTGGAGTCGTCTCTCGGTATCTGCCTCCCTCCTCCTCCTTCCTCCTTCCTCCCCCTCAGCCTGACATTGGCTGGTATCTCTCTAAACAGACTGTGACCCGGGCCAAACATTCCTGTCTGTGCTATGTTTCCTGACAAGGACACTGAAGGAGATCTTCAGCAGAAAAACAGGGTTGTGAAATGGAGGGTGGTGATGGAATGTACAGGCGTATCAGATACCTGGTCGATAACGGGGCAAAACCTGTATGGAGTCAGAGTTTATCAAAATCTGATCGTCGGAGCCAAGTTTCAAATGTCAGAAATGTAACGTCAGAGCCACTTGAAATGCTGTCGATCTCTGGACCAGTAAGATATATAAAGTTCTCCGTCTACCATATAAAAGGAAGATTAAACCTATAATCCTACATTTGTTTTGTTTTTATCTTTTTGGTTAATCGGGATAGACTCTTGAGAACAAGGTCGACCCTTATGTGGATGTAGTCGCTGCCACAATAGAAAGTAGAGAAATAGAATAAATGGAAGAACAAAAGAGGACGACATGCAGAGATGTGTGCCCGTGATGAGTAAACTCTGATAAAGATTTAATTTATTTGTTTTCATTTTGTTGGAGTTTAATGGTTCATGTTGGTTTTATAAAATGAAAGTTAAATGAAGTTGTTGATGCACGAGTAGTTTCCAATTGTTCTAAGAAAATAAAAGATAAAAGTGACTTGATAAGATCTGTAACTTCCTTGTTTTAAGGCTCATGCACAGCTTGTACTAGATTTGGCAGCAGAAGTGGTTGTTACATTTTTCTACTTTATCTTTATCTCTTTACCAACTGATAACTTTTGTTGTGTTCGCGTCCTGTTTGACTTTCCCAGCAGCCCCAGCGGCTCTGCAGGCACAGAAACTTGCAGCCCAAACACTAGATTACAGCAAGGACGCTGCAGAACAATAACTCCTCCCCTTCGCCTCAAATCCCCCTTCATAATCCCCGAGGAAATCTCCTCCGCAGCACAAGGTGGAGTGTGTTTGTGTTCATACTGGGAGGAGGAAGAGGGGGGGCGGGAGTCCTGTTCTCAGAGTCCTCAGACTGGTGTCAGACTGGTGGGGGTCGTGGTGTCAAAGTGGATCTTTTCTTTGTGTTTCTGAAGGAGTCGGCTGTGCAGAAGTGAAGTGGAAGTGTCCTTTTTGAAACCAGGGCTGATGTAGAGCACAAAGACAACTTGCACACAAACAGAACTCTAAACGTGTGAGGTAGTTGGTAAGTTAACGCGATTTGTTGCTTCACTTCATTAAGAGACACCCAAACAGGTTGAGCTCCTCATCAACATGTTTATAATGCAAATCAGCTTGTTTCAGGTATTTATACTTAGTATTCTTACTGCTCGTGTTAATAAATGAGGTTTTAATACTTAAATCATAGATGACTTAAAAATAAGATGTTTGATTATTACTGTTTTTAATTCATTGATTCATCATTTAGTCAGAAGACGGTGAAAACTTAAGATAACAAGTTACTAAAACCCAAATGGATGAATTAGAATGTCCTGTTTTGTTCGATCAACAGTTCAAAACTAAAATCTCTTCAGTTTATAATGATATGAAACGATGCGAGAGAAGCCAGAACCGGAGAATGTGTCACATTGATGCTTCATAAATCACTTAATCGGTCTTAATGTTATCTTTGTAGATAGATTTTCTGTCGATCACCTGTTCAGTACTTCCTGGTGTAGATACAGAATGTACATGTATAGCGTCAGAAGTCTCTGTGTGCCGATCTAAGACCCAACTGGACTCATTTAACAAACGTGGACTTATTCTCCTCCTCTGGAAGTCCAACATGTTATTTGTTTTAGCTCGTCATTCTCAGAATATTCTTCGTTCAGCTCACTGCTGATATATTTTAGTTCCTTTCTCACGGCACTTCTTCAGTTTTATCAAATCCTCTCGATGACGGATGTTGGGTCAGCTGTGTTTCAGCTTCATGTTCCTTTCTTCAGCTCGTATGTCGTGGGAGTGAGCGGTGGCGTCTCCTCCTCTGTGGAATATCTGTGACAGAGCAGCTGTATCCCCTGACAATAGGCCCTCGGCGCTTTAGAAAAAGTGACATTTGCATTTCTATTGTGCAGGAGTTTGTTTGGAGGCAACTCTCACTCTGTGTGTCACACTGAGCAAAGGGAGAGGAGGGTTTATTAAGTTGAAGTAACAGTTTGGGATGTTTGCAATTCATGAAAATAAAAGCAAACCTCCTGAATAGAAACGTATCCTTTTACAATCCTTTTGGTTTTTATCTCAGTACACAAAACACACAATTTTACATTTATAATTTCCAAGAAACGGTTAATTCAGAGGAAGGCTCCAATAGAAATATGAATAAGTAGAGTAATTACAGGTAAAATGATTACGGTACTTATTTGGTACACCTCCATTAGTGTTTTAGTCAACTGAGCATGCAAAGACTGTCTACCATGCAAGCATACGATTCAACAACATCCCTTATTCTTTTGACTTTCTGTGTTTATTGTAATTATGTAAAATAAGAATAAATATTTGCTTAATAGCAAAAACCACAAAGCTTTAAACCACAACGGTGACATTCAGTTGATTGGTACCAAATATCTCTTCTGTCTCTTGAGGGATTACACGCAGGAACTCAGACAGTAGAAGTATTGTTGGAGTCAGAAAGAAGGCAGCATACTTTCTTTATTGGACTCTCGGACTGCTGGGAGATGGCTAACGTAGATGTATCTCTCGCTGCATTCCTTTGCTGAAGGAATGCAGCGTCTCCATCGTGACCGGGCAATCGAAGCGAAAGAAATCTCATTTGGTTGCGATATTTCACATCCACCTGACACTTGAACTTGGGAAATAATACTGAATGATACTGTTTTAAAAAAATGATCACAGTCTAGTTTAAGAGCTTTTATTTTGTACCATGAAAGAAATTTAAGCTACATATTAAAACTTGTATGAAAGGGAGGTTATGGTGGTTGTGGATCCGTCGCACAACATTTTCTAAAAGCTAAGCAGTTAAGCTCCGTCTGGGCCATATGGCTGTGACAGATCTGTCTCCTTCTCCTGTTGTGAAAGCCCTTCAAAATAAGAGGTTCCACACAACAGGAAGTTCCCAGCCTGCTTAGACATCATTCTCCATGATTTGGTCCAAAATGCAGGGACATGTCAGAATTTCAAATACACAGATTGTCCTAATGAGGGAGCTGTAGTTAAATTCAACATCAGACATCATTAGAGGGGTGGTTTGTCTTGCTTCTGATTGGCCAGCAGGTTTACTTTTGCCTTTTTCAGTTGGCAGCTGTCTAACTTTAGACCCTCAGCAGATCTCTGCTTCACAAAGAAGACAGATTGTATTATTCTGTGTCTTGTCATGTCTTTTGACGCTGACTTTACCTCCTTTCTCCTTCCTTCACTCGCTGCCCATCAGGGCTAAAATGGTTGATGTTGCATCACCACACACAATGCCGTCAGAAACCGAGGTTCACGTGGCGAGGAGCTTTCTCACCAAGATTTTGCGAAGCTCGATGAGGTACCGTCAGCCAGCCTCGTGTCATTGTGTTTGCTGGTAGTTTTCCGTGAACCTAAGTGATGGAGTTTGTACGTTGTGCTTTGTGCTCCTTCCTTCCCTTGTATTCTGTGTATGACGTATTGTTAATAAGTGTGGTGCTTGTCCAAACCTTTAGTCGTGTTCGTCCCGGTGATATTCAGCCTCCTCATAGCTTTTGGTTGTTTTTCATGTCATGAAGCTGATGTGTTGTAATATTATTTCTCCTGTTTAATATGTTGTGTGAAATTAAGATGTTGAACATGTGTAAATCTTTTCTTTTTCAACATGCTCTCCAGGAAAAACCGCTTCAAAGAGTACGTACGAGTTTGGTGTGAGCACAGTGATGTTATCAGTTTAGCTTTCTAGGGTTCTTACCGAGTTATGGATGATAATATAACAAAACATGAGGAATCATTTTGATTTTCAGGCCTGACGACTGACACAAATACCTAGAAAAATGTATAATAGGTCCCAATACATACTACTGCCAAACTAGAAACCCAGCACATCCATACTCGGATTAATATTGTTTTGGGATCTGACTCTTCATCTGCTAATGTTGCTTTATCTCCTGGACAAAGAACTTGTTCAACCGAATATGTATTTGTTGTGTAAGCAGGAATATTGAACATTATTAAAGAAACCCCTCATCCCTGAGTGACGGTGGACTCTTGAAGGAGAATCATAGGGGTGCCAAAATGCTTGGAATAGTTTTTTTACCATTAAACTCTGCAGCTGAAATGTCAAATACTCCCTTGTTTCAAGTGTTTGGTTGCCTCTGTGCCTTGCAGGAAGAATGATCCAAACTCACGCCCCCATTCCTGGCACTCGTCCAAGCTGACAGAAGAGGAGTTTGAGGCCGCCAGGCGAGACGCCGCCACGGCACCTGCCTGGCAGCCAGAACATGAAGCAAGGTGAGACACTTTCAGCTTCTCAGCGTTAAACAGGGCAGGATATATTTTTTGTTGTGTGACGGATATTTTTTCTTATCTCTCTCATTTCTTTCTGACGATACACACCAGGGCCAAAGAGTCGTCCAATCAAGAGGACCAGAACTCCCAGTGTCAGCTAACCAGCCAGTTGAGCTCAGGGACCAACATGGAGAAAGTGGAGCGTCCCTCTCATCCCTTCCCACCAGGTCGTCTTTCCCCGAATAAATACATCAGCAGTGATGAGCCGCTCTGTGGACCAGGAGGCAAAAGAGACTCCGGGTTCAGCTGTTTCTCCATCACCTCCAGCCCTCCTGTTCATGACCACAAAACATCTGATGGGAAGGGTACCAGCACTGAAAACATTTTTTTCAAGGGCCTTCATAGTGAAGGGCCTCAGCAGGTGGACCGGCCCAGGTACCTGCAGCCGATGCTGGGAAACGGAGGCTGGGAGGGATCACGGGGCGAGGAGCAGTCTGCCTCTCGGGTCTCCGTCGCAGGGAGGCTCAGCGCAGGCCCACTGTGGCAGGTACCAGAGAAGAAGAAGGACCAGCCTCCTCCTCCCCCACAGCCTCCCCTGCGCAGTGACAGTTTTGCCGCCACAAAGGTGTTCCCGTACTCTGAAGGGCCTAGCGGGCCAGCAAAGACCCACGGCAGGTATATTGAAAAACTGACAGAACATAACCTCAGATCTCAGCAGGAGAAAACCTCAGAGGCGAGACGGAGCTTCAACCCCCTGCCCACCAAAGACTTCCTCCATCCCAACATGGCGGCTGACCACAATCACAACCAGCTGCACCCCAACAAACTCTTCTCGCTGTCCAGCAATGATGTCAGACAGTCTCATTACACCCAACCGCCTGCCCACCAGAGGCAATACAGTGACGAAAGTCCCTTCTGCATGCAGACCAGGTCAGTACCTCCTACCAAGATTCAGAGTGTAGGAAGCTACTATCGCAGCCTCCAGGATCTGCCCACAAACATCTTCAGCCGGAAACACGTCAGGCACTCCACAGCATCCATGGCGAGTTCTGCTGTAAACCCAAACCAGGAGAACGGGGGGCACAACAGATACTACGGTCTGGCAGGCAAGCATTCGGTTCAGACTGCTGAGCTCCAGGTTAGGCACGGCAAAGTAGAGGTCCGGAGGGGGGAAATGGAGAAACCGCAACGGGTAAACAACAATGAACCAGGCTACCAAAGTTCCTTGAAGACCAACAGTAAGACAAAATACTCTCTACCTCAGTCCCAGCTGCCTTATAGTGAAAATAAGGAGCGTAGTGGCCCTTCCCAGCTGGGGAACGGTCTACATTTTGACCGCCAAACATCTGAACTTTCTGTTCGAAGCTCAGAGGATGCTGCAAAGAGAGGTGAAGGACACGCTAATGACACGAAAAGACACGTCACAGCACATCAAAGTAACGATCTTAAGGTCGGTCTTTCACGGCACCAAAACCCTTGGGTGCCGCAAGAAGACCACCGAATATCCCCCCTGAAAACCCCACTCCTCCACTCCCTGGCCCAGGAGAGTAGGAGTCTGGCCGTGAGGCAACCAGCAGCTACGACCACGGGTGCAACACAGGATGCCGGTGACACCATGGCCACCAGCAGTGGAAAATCTAATCGCCGCAGCGACCGTTATGCCACCACCCTCCGCAATGAGATCCAGCAGAAGCGAGCCCAGCTGCAAAAGAGCCGCAGCGCTGCAACCCTGACATGCGATGCTGAGGATGAGGAGTGGAGATCCACGAAGACATCTATGTCTTCTGGTGTCTCCTTCTCCAACACTTACAAGGACCACCTGAAAGAGGCGCAGGCCAGGGTCCTCCAGGCCACCTCCTTCCAGAGACGGGACCTTGAGCCTCTTGGACCAGAGGCGCCGGTTGTTAAAACCTCCAATGGACGCATTAGAGGACGTAAACGCTTCCCCCTGGCCAAGAGAATGCACTCCTTCTCAGAGCCTGACAAGATAGACAAAGTGGGAGTGGAGGGAGAACCTCAGACAGGGTCTTTCGGAGAGCGGAAGAAGTTCTTTGAGGCCAAACCGGCATTTTCCAAGCCTGTGCTGAAGTCCAGTCAGGGTGCAAACTTGAACGCGGACCTTTGTGAGATAGGCAAACCCAAAGAGAGAACTCCCTATGCAGAGGAGGAGGCTCACCCATCTGCAGAGCACCTCAGCCCTGGACACAAGCAGGTCTTGGTAGAGCAGCAGAGGCTTGGGACCTTTGCTGAGTACCAGGCTACGTGGAACAAACAGAAGAAGTCATCAGAGGCCAAGACGCAAGGGAGGTATCACTCAGCGGAGAACATCTTGGATGCCGATGGTGAGGAGAAGGCTGTGTGCGTCCACGAGAGATCCCGATCTTCTCCCTCTGCAGACTTCTATACACAGGTGAGAATGAAGGGGTGTTTGTGTAACTCAATGATGAGAGAAGTCTATTTCTTTAAACAAATAGAGGCAGGAGACCTACCAAGTCTGTTCTGCTAACATGAGATGCTTAGTAATGATGATACAACTTAAAGCTGTATTTTGTTAAGGTATTAAGTAAGACTGGATGTTTTCATCGTTGAGCTTGTGAAGGGATTTGCAGAGTTAAGCAAAGAAGTCTTTGACCTTTCGTTTGCAGAATATTCCTTCGCCATGGCAAGACCCTGACAGCCAGCAGAGCAGTAACGGGTAAGATTAAGAAATGCATATGAAGTTTCATGTAAATGTGGGATTTGAGTGGTGTGATTTCAGAGCAGAGAAAGAACAGTTTCTACTTCCAGGTTTCCTCAGCTAAAAGGAAAATATTATTATCTGTCATATAGATCTCTTCCTAACCTTGTCTCTTGTTGTTGGAGCTCATGTTAAGGTGAAAAGTATCTTCTGGAATACTGTAAACGACACCGACATTTACAAATGTGTGTGCAATTACAGGTGATTTACAGCTGCTTTTGAAAATGAACAATTATCTGTCTCGTTCATGGTCGCTTTCTCGGCTAAAAGTTGATATTAATCTAACAGGACGGTAAGTTTAAAGAGGCCAAAGATATCTGATTATAGATGAAGGCAAATAATATTTCCTTTTTAAAATCCAGTTTGTATGTCAGAGAATTAAATCCTGTAACTCGATGCGTTATATTTATTTAGAGGAAATGTTTCTTTAAATCTGACCGTGCCCTTATCTCCGTGTAAACCAAACTCTGTTTGGTTTTCACTCCCGTAGCTCAGGTTTCCTAAACTGTAACACACACACTCGCTGTGAACACACCTCTGAACCAACAAGTAGTAAACAAACATGTTGGCGCAGGAAACATGGCGGTAAAGTAAATGAACAACCTCCAAATTTAGGAGCTATTGGATTTTCTACACAGAGCTGCCAGAAAACTATTTCTGACTCTGATGGAGTTTGAGTTGAGTTCTTTCCGGTACCACTGAAAACACACTGTATCCATGAGTGCCTGTGTGTGAACCTTCTTGAGATGTCAATATATTCAACATCTTTGAAAGTTATTCAAAACGTTTTTTTTAAAAGGAGAAATGCAGATTTCTTGCTCTACAAACAAACATCGTTGTTTGAACAGTTTTATAAAGAAAGACGATTGTTGAACCTCTTTTATAACGAAGGTAAACATCTACTTTTACCGCAGCTACTGATGCAGTTTGTCTTTACTTTGACCTCCTAGAGGAAAAACAGAGAGCAGGCTGCGATGCCAGCCCGACCACAGCCCACAGTCGACCCCGTCAGTCCACAGAAACGAGGGCCTCACCGACCACAGGACCAAACCAGACGCTGCCAGTCCCTCCCACACCACACACTCCCCTGGCCCTCGCAGCCCCAGCCCAGCATCCCAGTATCCAGCTCATCTTCCACAAACTAAGGGCCTCCTGCCTCCGCCCAGGCCCCATTTAGGCCCAGAAACCACATCCTCCTCCCAGGAATTCCTCGCTGGCGCCCAGGCAGACCCGACAGCGCTCCAGCCTCTGTCCAGCTGCAGCTCTGACAGCCAGCACCATGCTACTGCCCAGAACTCCTACACTGGCCCCGCCTCGGCCAGCTCCCCTCACCTCAGCAGCACGTCCAGAGCCGACTTGAGCAGAGGAGGTGGAGAAAGCGAGGTGGAGAAGGAGCTACCGCAGCCACCTTCCTCTTCATCCCTGCTCTCTTCCTGGACGGCTGCTGTGTCTTTTCCTGCCACGGATCGAGCACGGTCTCCCTCTCCACAGTTTGCACCGCTGAGACTGACCGACAAACCGCCGGCCGTGGCCGTGCAGGATGACTCACCTCTCAGGTAAGCCACTTAGCAAAAAGGGCTTCAGGTTTTACTCACCGCCCCTCGTTACGTAAAGCTTTTCTGTTCTAGTAGAGGAGGCTTTGAACTTCAGGCAAACCAGTTCAAGTCAACAGAATGTAGAAGGGAAAGCTGATCGTGCTCACACTTACAAGAATTAACAGAGGAAGAGGCTGTGAAAATGTAAAATATGCACACAGAGAGGAAGATCACAGTTTGATTGTGCTTGTTGTCGATCAAACCGGAGGCTGTAATTTAGTTAAAGCCACACGGCTGCTGTGACCTTTGGTTTCCATTGCAGTTCTTCTGTACGATCCATCCTTTAATTAGAAATGGTCCACTGTAGCTCTGAAAAATGTTTCCATACTCGGTGCTTCATTCTTTGAATGGGTGTTTTTAATTGTCCAGTTAGAATGTATTGTTCCCAAAACATGACTTTAAGTTAAACTTGAAAAATGTGATATTTACAGAAACTTTAACGCAGTATATTGGGAATATATTAATATAAGAAAAGAGCTAATATGAGGCACATGATTACAAGTTTTTAGATGTTTGAGATTAGAAGATGAACAATTTCAGGCTTTAATACTGAAATCTGTTTCCTGGCCAGGTCAGAAAATGATTTGAAGCTCCTGGCTGAGATGGATTTGAACAGTCCGGTGAGGAAGGTCCCGGTGAGGATCGTCCAAGCCGAGTCCAGCTCGGACCGTGAGGGCCGGGCCTACCTGCCTCAGAGCAGCGAGACTTGCAGCGCCTTTGAGCTTCCGGTCCACGTCCCCTCCCTGAGCACCACGGAGCGCCAGGCCTCGTCCCTGTTCAGCGCTTACACCCGCCAGGACCCGGCTCAGGCTTCAGTCTCAGTCCAGGAGTCGAGTCCAGCAGGGGTTCAGCGCTCGGAGGAGGACGCCAAGAGAGAGGAGCTGGCCAGGGACATCATGGGAAAAGACAAGTCCCTGGTGGACATCTTGGACCAGAGTGGCAGGAGGACTACCATGGACCTGATGGAAGGACTCTTCCCCACGGAGGAGCAGGTCCTGGAGGGGAACCACCAGCGCAGGAGGGCCTCCTCTGGCTCCAGACTGCCCACCTCATCCCCCAGGAGCATGGACAGGTGGGACATTTAACAAGCACAGCCAGGAGTACCAACATGCTTCAAATCATTTATTAACCTTTCACCTATTTTGTGATTGGAGAAATTGTAATGGACTTGTCTCCTCAAGTATTTATCCTGCTGACGTTTCTTTGAGCAAGACACTGAACCTAAGAGCTCCTCTGAAAATGACTTTGTCTAGTTTAACTCAGTTATTATTTTAATATTTTATGAACATGATGTGAGCTTCTCTGGCATTTAATCAATTATAAATCTAAATCATCATTCATATAAATGTGCAGTAAATATTAAAGGAAAAAGTTATGGTGTCTAAAAATGATTTAACAAAAGAAACACCAGGGGAAATGATTAATTAAATTAACAAACTAAGTGTTAAACTAATAAAAGTGATCCTGTTCAACCTTTATCAGCCTGCCCTCTGGTGGACAAATGTCTCATTACAGTTATCTTCATTCAACATGACCTCTCTAACAAGTAGAACAATAAATACAAAAGGTGGAATTAATTAAAAGCAAAATTGTAAGAGTAAGCTGTGTGTGTGTCTCTCAGGAGGGAGGATGAGGACTTGCCTGCATCAGCTGCAGCCTCCCTGGTCCCCAGCTCCTCCTACTACAACACATCGGCTCCCAAAGCCGAGCTCCTCATCAAGATGAAGGACATGCAGGAGCAGCTGGAGGAGCAGGACTCTGAGGACGAGCTGGACGTCGACCTCGCCGGTAAAAAGGTGAAGACAGTATGTGATCATTTATAACAGCCTAAATCACTCATTCTCAACAGATATTTGCTTTTGAATTTGTGTTGCCGTACAGTAGTTTTAATGCTCTGCATGTGATTTCTTCAAAATCACCAGCAAGAGCTGATCTCCAGCCTGGCCAGGAAGCTGGAGGTGCTGCGGGAGGCCCGGCACAGCCTGCAGGAGGACGTGGAGGACAACGAGGCTCTGGGCCGGGAGGTGGAGGCCACCGTGCAGCGTCTCTGTCAGGCCAACCAGCTCGACAAGTTCTGCATGTTCGTGGGCGACCTGGACAAGGTGGTGAGCCTGCTGCTGTCGCTGTCTGGGCGGCTCGCCCGGGTGGAGAACGCTCTCAACACCCTGGAGGACGAGGCCTCGCCAGAGGAGAAGGTAACAGCTGAGGGCAGGGGGGAAAAACACTGAATCTGTTGAGATATGTACTGATTCATTTCTAATATCAATCATTCATCAGCAAACCCTGACAGAGAAGCGTAAGCTGCTGATGCAGCAGCACGAAGACGCCAAGGAGCTGAAGGAGAACCTGGACCGTCGGGAGCGGCTGGTGTCCGGCATCATGGAGGCCCACCTGGACACAGAAAGCCTGGACGACTACCGCCACTTTGTGAAGATGAAGTCAGCCCTCATCATCGAGCAGCGGAAACTGGAGGATAAGATCAAGCTGGGCGAGGAGCAGCTGAAGTGCCTGGTGGACAGTCTGCCGCTGGAGCAGAGGCCGCTGTTCTGATACCGTTCACCTGGAAAAGCATCTGGTTCTTCTGGATCAAGATGGAGGCCCATTTGAAGGAGCTACATGTAGCATTTTGATATTAATGTCTTTGTTAAATTGTTCATGCCAAAGAGCATTTCATGCCAGTGGTACTGTTTTTCAGGAATGAATACTACATTACCCATGTGGCCCTTTTTGACCAAATAGTTCCAGGATCAAAGGAGCCTGAGCAACTAAATTGGGTCTATTTGACCTAAAGTAGATTAAACAACGGCGGCTTCCTTGAGGCCCAATTTTTGCAGGATGACTAGACAAGAACACGGAGATGTTGTGTTGTCATTTTTTTCTTCTGCTTTGGTATGCATCTGTATTAATGATTGAATAAACTAGACTTCCGGGGAAGTTCCTGAGTTCCTTAAAAGGTCAAAGGTTCCTAAAAACGTTCATAATAACGTAACATAATGTATTCTATTGACTGAGGAGGATAAACAAAAGATTTAATGTTCTCTTTCATTCCTTCTCCAGTCGGCTGCACCAGAAACTCTTAATATAAATATTAATCCCCAAAATGTACATTTAGTCCAGAGACCGTTGTGTTTAGTATTTTAAAGTCATTCTACTCATGGTTCACTGATGTTTTATAACATTTTATATTACTCTTTTGGAGGCGTTTTATCTCCGTTTACTCCAAGATGAATGTTTAATACTCAAACACAGATTTTAGATGGTTAAAACTTTGATCAGAATCATATTTTATTGTTTATGTATTTACATCTCAACACCCCTCCAGAGATGAGAGTTAAGAGAAAAGCAGCAATGGAAAAGTCAAACGCACAAACCAGATGTTCTCAACCAAAAAGTCAAACACACAAACCAGATGTTCTCAACCAAAAAGTCAAACACACAAACCAGATGTTCTCAACCATTATCTTAGTGTTTCTAGCCCCGCTTCATTATCTTAGTGTTTCTGGCCCCGCTTCGTTATCTTAGTGTTTCTGGCCCCGCTTCATTATCTTAGTGTTTCTGGC